TTGACTAATCGTTATCAATCGTTATGCATTGGACCCGTGTCCAGCAAGGATAACAGTGTCGTTAGGCACTGTTATCTCCTTTTTTTTTTTTTTTTTTTTTTTTTTTTTTTTTTAATTTCAGACCGCTTCGTTATATGAGTATATGTTCATAATTTTATTACTATATGTTAATAACTGTACATTCATAACTCCATAACTGTACATTCATAACTCCATAATTGTACATTCATAATTTTCGAAGCTCTATGTTCACAATTTTAGAGCTCTATGTTCATAATTTTATCACTATATGTTTATAATTGTAAGTTCATAATGTTAGAGCTCTTTGTTCATAATTCGATCAATAACTGTACATTCATAATTCCATACTGTAGATTCATAATCTCATAACTGTAGATTCATAACTCCATAACTGTAGATTCATAACTCTATAACTGTACATTCATAACTCCATAACTGTACATTCATAATCTTCGAAGCTCTATATTCACAATTTTAAAGCTCCATGGTCATAATTTTATCACTATATATGTTCATAATTGTAAGTTCATAATGTTAGAGCTCTGTGTTCATAATTTCATAATTGCATAACTGTACATTCATAACGGCATAACTGTACATTCATAATCCAAAAAAAATAACGCCGTTAACGGCAAAACGCGCGTGATTTTTTTTTTTTTTTTATAACTAAATGACACTTTTTTTTTTTTTTTTTAAACGACGTCGTTTTGGGCCCGTGTCCACAATTCATTGTGGACACGGGTCCAGGGCATAATTTGCCAATCGTTATATAGTGGGCTATGGTCTACATAGCTGTGGGATGTCGTTTAATTTAATGAATAAGGCAATTTTATATTCTACGACGTGCATATTTTTTTGGTTATGTTGTAATGAAACTACAGTATATATAAACTGAAACTAAATAAAAGGTCTCACATATTGAGTGTATATTATCAAATGAAACAATAGTTGAATTAGAATGATACTTTAGTGGTGTTGTAATGAAACTACAATGTGTATAAAATGAATCAGAATAGTAGGTCCGACATATTGAATGTATATTGTCAAATAAAACTGTGGTTTAATAAAAATGGTAGTTTGGTGGTGCTGTAATGAAACTACATTGTGGATAAAATGAAACTGAATAGTAAGCTTCACATATTAAATGTATATTGTAAAATAATATTGTTGTTGAATTAGAATGATACTTTAGTGGTGCTGTAATGAAACTATAGTGTGTATAAAATGAAACTGAAAAGCAAGTCTCATATATTGAGTGTATATTGTCAAAAGATACCATAGTTGAATAAGAATGATGCTTTAGTGGTAACATATAATGAAACTACATTGTGTATAAAATGAAACAGAATAACAGGTCTTACATATTGACATATTGTGTGTATATTGTTAAATGAGATTGTAATTGAATTAGAATTATACTTTAGTGGTACTATAAATTGTATAAAATGAAACTGAATAATGAGAGAAATTGTTACATGGACCATAATGAAATTTTATCGTCTACCAACCTACCGTTATTAATGAAAAAAATTTCAAACGAGGTCATTTTTACCTGGTCCGTGCAGCTATGTATGTGGAGGTCCACAGTAAAATTTGCCATAATAGTGCTACAATGTTAGCTAAGGCTTATAATCAGGTTTATAATGAAAAATCAAGGCACATATGGGCTAGACGCATGCAACTATATGCAGCCACTTGTCAAAGATTGTTTTGTAGCATTTGATTTTGTAAGATTACAATTTAATTTGGCAAAATTTTTGCACAAAATATTTGTCAAGAATGCGATTTACAAGGCATCAATAGGGATGAGTCTTAAGTCCATTAATTTATCACAAATTGAAGAAAACTCGATTCTAAATCTAATATTACATTAGATCTAGAATTCAATGTAAATAAGTACTTCATTAATTGATGGTAATCACTGAATTGTTATGTGCTTGTTTTTACCTAAAGAGTGATGTTGATTAGTTTCTTAATTGATCATTTAACAAAGCAATAATTGTAGGATCATGACATAAAAGATCTACATATATAAACATGCATGAAGTGATGTCGCGGTTTCAACCAAGTTTAGGCTTGGCTTGATACATGTTTATGAAAAGATACGGAGAAATGGTTGTAATAGTGTCAAGGAACTTGAGGGTTGTGGGAAAACTTTTAAAGTTATGTGTATTGCACCTCCATTATTTCAAAGTGATTGAATGGTTCAAGGTTCGTCTATGTCAATTCAATGTAAAGTGTACAATAATAAGTCAAAATTCAATTGCAAGACACTTTCATTATTTATATATAAGTTTTGGGAATTTGTCTTGTGGCAATGCTAAGTATATTTAGCATATAAAATATAATGGAGGAGGATTGTTTGAGATATATATAGTAATGGGAACTGTTGAGATTAATAAGAACAAGGAAAAATAACAATGGCAGAAAAGGGTAAAGAAACCAAGATTTACGTGGTTCGGCAAAGTGCCTACATCCACGGGAGTGAAACAATTCTCTTATTCATAGTGATGGTGATAGTGGTGACACAACTCCTTAGGGATATAACCAATATATTTATAGGCATCTAATCCTTATACAAAGGGTCTACCCGTTTCACTCTTATTCTTAGTATGAGACAAACTCATCCCTATATGAGACAAACTCAACAATCTCCACCTTGGCGAATATGCTCTTTAGGAGAAAAAGATAACTCAACAAATCTCCACCTTGACGAATATGCTCTTTAGGAGAAAAGACTTATCTCACCATCTCCACCTTTACATATATGCCATTTAGGAGAAAAGACTATCTCCACCTTCGCAAATATGTCCTTTATGAGAAAAAGATAACTCAACAAATCTCCACCTTAGCAAATATGTCCCTTAGGAGAAAATACTTATCTCATCATCTCCACCTTCACAATTATGCCCCTTAGGAGAAAAAGACTTATCTCACATATACACATGGGTAGGAACAACCATGTTCATCCCAACTAGCCAGCCATATACACCACGCAGCATCAAACGTTTTCCAGCATGTACACGAACCGCGCTTTGTCCCAAGCCATTCGCCCCTCAGCCGTCGACCTGTTATACCAGCTGCGACTCATGCTTACTGTCCCGTTTAGCTGACCTCCTGCATCTAGCCCATACCAGGTCCTTGTCCCCTCCTGGTATCCACGCTGCCCCCAACACAACAGCGCCCCTGCAAAATCACACTAAACCAGTGTGCTTTGCCCAACGCTCCACTAACCAGCAATTACCACTGGCCAGCAACACGCACCACGCAGCATCAAACGTTCCTAGTGCATGTTCACGAACTGCTTCGTTCCAAGCAATCCGTCACACCAAGCGTGACTCAAGCCAAGCCTAGCCCATACCAGATCCATATCCCCTCCTGGTATCCACGCTGCCCCTAACACAACAGCGCCCCTGCAAAGTCACACTGAACCCGTGTGCCTTGCCTAATGCTCCACTAACCAGCTATCGCCACTAGTCAGCAACACGCACCACGCAGCATCAAACGTTCCCAGTGCATGTTCATGAACCGCTTCATCCTGAAGCGTTCGTCCATACCAGCCTTGACTCATGCCAAGCCCGGCCCATACTAGGTCCATGTCTCTTGACAAGCCCAACCCGTACCAGCCGTGACTCATGACAAGCCCAGCCCACACTGACACCAGGTCCGCGACCCCTCCTGGTATCCGCGATGCCCAACACCACAGCGCCCCTCACCACCTTCTCATCTAGCATCTAGAAACTCCCAACAAGTCCAAACAATGTTCGAACTTGTTACTAGTTACCGCTAGAACATCACCTTCACTATAATAAGATTCATCAGCATGCACCACGTTCGCCGCCTCTTGTTGTTTTTTCAACTTTGGACAATCTCTCTTTATGTGCCCAATCTCATAACACTTGTAGCACCAGATTTTCCTGCTATTTCTGGACTTAGACCTAGAGTTTCTCCTCCCAGAATTTCCCTTCCCTTGTTTCCTTCCACGATCCTGACCCTCTTTAGCATACAAACTTTCACCAACAGACGATCCATCTCCTACACTCTGCAAGCGCTTATTATGAGCCTGCAGGGCCGCAGAGATCTCGCTGTATTTAATCGTGCTTTTCCCGTATGTTAGAGTAGTCACCAAATGTTCAAAGGAAAAAGGTAATGAACATAGCAAGATCATCGCCTTGTCTTCATCTTCAATCTTGACATCAAGCCTGGCCAGATCTGAGATTATCTGGTTGAAGACATTAATATGATGCACCAAGTCTGAACCCTCCTGCATCTTAAGCCCATAAAGCCTTTGCTTTAGATACAGTTTGTTCGTTAGAGATTTTTCCATGAACTGAGTTTCCAATTTATCCCAAATTTCTTTTGGAGCTTCCAAGGCCATAACGTGATACACAATTCCATCGTCTAGGCATAACCGAATGGTTCCTGCCGCACGCTCCTTCAAATCTTCCCAATCATCCTCTTCCAGATTAGCTGGCTTATCCGCCTTCAAAGTTTTCAGAAGACCCTGTTGTGCCAACAAATCCTTTACCCTAGATTTCCATAACCCAAAATTCCCTGTACCATCAAATTTTGTGCTTGAACTGGTCATCTCAACAGTGCTCTGATACCAATTTGTTGAGATTAATAAGAACAAGGAAAAATAACAATGGCAGAAAAGGGTAAAGAAACCAAGATTTACGTGGTTCGGCAAAGTGCCTACATCCACGGGAGTGAAACAATTCTCTTATTCATAGTGATGGTGATAGTGGTGACACAACTTCTTAGGGATATAACCAATATATTTATAGGTATCTAATCCCTATACAAAGGGTCTACCCGTTTCACTCTTATTCTTAGTATGAGACAAACTCATCCCTATATGAGACAAACTCAACAGGAACGAACTTAAATAATATTATATTCTAGTGTTGTGGAGTAAAATATTATTTTAACTTGAATACATCGATCTATAAAATACATAGTTACGTAAAAGTTAATTGACAACAAACATAAAGAGGTCCTCTTCTGCATAGTAATATTCGATAATTTGCAAATTCTATAGCTAGCTAATCACACCTTTTTAGCAAAGAGACACAAAGGGGTTTTCTTATGCATAGCAAGTCCAGGCAAAGATTCAGTTTCAATGTCTTCTTTCTTCATCCAAGAAGGCATTTCCCAATCAAATGCATAAAGAAGATTAGCAAGTGCGAGCTCTGCCGATGCAACCCCTGCTATCATTCCGGGACAGATCCTCCTGCCAGCTCCAAATGGAATGAATTCGAAGTCATGTCCTTTGTAATCAACGTTGCTATCAAAAAATCTCTCAGGATAAAACTCGTCCGGATTTTCCCAGTACTCAGGGTCCCTAGCAATGGCCCATGCGTTCACAAAGACAAGCACTTTTGGCTTGATTTCGTACTCATCAATAGTGCATTTCGAAAGGGTTTCTCTGTTAACCAAGAGTGGAGCTGGTGGATACACTCTTAAAGTTTCTTTTACGACTGCTCTGAAATATGGTAGTTGTTTAATGTCTTCTTCATCTACATTGTCTTTCTCCCCAATAAACCCCCTGATTTCTTGTTGGACTATATTCATCACCCTTGGATCTTTCATTAGAGCTGTCATAGCCCAGACTATAACAACTGCACTTGTGTCCGTCCCAGCAACGAAAACATTCTGAATATTATGTAAAACAAATTAAAGCTAGAATCTAAGGATAAATTTAACATGAACAAAATGCAAAACATATAGAGGAATGAAGCTAATAACACAAGGTGATGAGAAAGGAAATATGTTCAATTTACCATTAACACTGCTTTAATGTGATCCAAAGTTAGATTGGCTGAAGATGAATTCTCCTCCATGAATCTCAGTAAAATATCAATTATATCGTCATCCATTGATTTTGGCCTATTTGGTTGTAGATGCTTGTCAATGAGTTCTTGGTAAAAACAATCCAAACCCTTGAAAACTTTCTCAAGCAGTGCAGCCTTTCCAGTTAACTTATCAATCCAACCAAATGACGGCAAGAAATCAGCAACTAGCGACCCTCCCACCAATACTTCCTGAGCTTCATTCAAAAGCTTGTAGAACCTCCTCTTTTCTTGCCCTTCCTCGTTGAATCTTAAACCAAAAGCGGACCGACAAATTATGTTGCTGGTTAGAGACATTGCTATCTTGCTTAAATTTATTTGTTGGTACGAGAAGGCAAGTTTGGAAATGCGATTGATCATTTGAGAGACTTCATCTTCACGGATTGACTGGAACTGCTTCACTCTCCTGAGGCTAAAGAGATGAAGAACAGAAATCTTTCTTATCTCTCTCCAGTAAGCATTGTAGGGCGAAAACGCAATGTCCAAGCCATTGTAGGTTAGCCTTTGCTGGCCCATGAATGCTGGTCTGCTAGAAAACGCCAAGTCGTGTGTCTTCAAGGCCTCCTTAGCTATTGTTGCAGAAGAAATGACAACAACTTCCCTGGAACCAAGTTTCATGCGCATCAAGGAACCATACTTTTTTGAAAGTTTGCACAGGAAAACATGAAGCTCTGCACTATCGAATTGGTGCAAGTTCCCAATGATTGGAAGGCCCGGAGGGCCAGGTGGAGAACTTGGCGACTTGCTAATAATGTGCATGCAAGTGGGAAGAAGAATATAATAATAAATGAAAATAAGAGCAATAATAGGCAGAAAAACGAGTACTAACGCCATTTAATTTGTAGCAAACCCTAAGAGGCTAGCTAGCGATGAAGAGTGAAGACCCAAACTAGCTACACTATTTAATTTATATTACACCAAGAGAAATGTGAAAGAAAAGTTATATCTTTTTGTTGTTATTTACGTGCATGAATAGCATTTTGATTTGTGCTTTGAATTTTCTGCCACGTATGTACGTACTATGTACGTACCAACGGAGAAGAGTAATCAAAGAAGAACAAGTTCTACTAGTCTTACATCTTAAAAATAACGTTCTAAATCAAAAGCACATGTGATTATTACAGTATTTGTTAAGAAAAAAAGTTCTCCTTCAATAATATAAGAATAATAATAAACCACTAACAATAACAAACCACAACAACAACAACAACACTACAAGAAATTAAAAATGGTCATAAACAACCAATATTGTTGTAAGTCCGCGCAAAAACAACATTTTTTAACCGTTGTCTTAAATAGAAAAGACAACAATTAAACTATTGAGTGTTGTTAAAATCAGTGTTGTTGAAGGTCACGGGCATATATAACGATTTTTAGCCGTTGTCTTTTTCTATATAAGACAACGGTTTTTTAACCGTTGTCTATTGAGTGTTGTTGAAACTAGTGTTGTTGAAAGTTACTCGCATAGATAACAATTTTTAACCGTTGTCTATGTAGTGTTATTAACATACTACAAAAAAGGACTTTAACGTCGGTTTTTTAACCCCATTTAACGTCGGTTTTCGACCGACGTCTATGCAGCAAACGTCATAAATAATGAGATAGGACGTCGGACCGACGTCATATAATTTTAAAATTTTTAATATTAACATACGACATCGGTTAAATACATAAAACGTCGGTTGTCTCACCAAGCCGATGTTATATGTATTTTTTAAAAAAAATTGAAAATTATTTTAAATTTTTAACGTCGATTTTCTAAAAAACCGACGTTAAATTGGCGACGTCATACGTGTTTTCTGTAGTAGTGTAAAACACGTGTTGTTGAAAGTTACGCACATATACAACTGTTTTTAACCGTTGTCTTATATATCAAAGACAATAGTTAAAAATGATTGTATTTTGTCTCGTGTTCATAGACAACGGTTAAAAACTGTTTGCCTTTATTTATAACTACAATGATTCTAAACCGTTGTCTTTAACATGTTTTGATTTTAAGTATAGTATAATAATAACAATTTATCCAAACACCATAAATAAAAAAGCATCAGTTCATTAATACAATCATCTTCAATTTTACAAGTATTTCAAAATACACAACAATTCATCATCTATTTCAAAAACAATAAACAAATACCTAACATTTAAAGGAGAGAATTTAATTTACTTAGATTCAATATAATAAAAAATTAGTTACTCCATAAAGAGAACAGTTGCTTACAATAACAGGGGTAGTAATTAGAGGTGGAGATTCGATCTGCAACATTATATTGATTCGTGTGTACTGTGGATCCCTTCCAACAGTGTAACAAGTTTCCTGCCCAAAAAATCAATGCACAAGATCGGTTCACAAGTTCACATTATAATAATGATATATATATGCATACCCCTTTACACATTACAACGAAGCTTCATCAGTTCTTAGTATCAACAATTTACAAATTGAGCATACCGTCTCCCCTTCATTTAGAAAAAATTTGACAATTTCAACACCCGGCTATAATAGAGAAAGAACTGTTAGGTATAATGATAAATTCAAAAAATGTCAAGGAATGCATATATGGACTCTAACTAATAAATTCCCTTCTTATAATGTAGAGTAGAACGTACTTTTTCTGAAACATAAGTGAGATGGAAAAGAGTAACAATTTGAATACATTTTCTACAGTCTACTACTCTTGATGGAGATCAGATATATATGGAGACTCAAAATTATCAGTTTTTTACTTGCTCAACTTTTCATGTTATTAATATATGTATTTAAGTGAGTGCATGTGTAAAGAAAGAAAACAATCATTATCAAATCTTTTTTTTTTTTTTTTTGAAAAACATCAAATCTTAATCATATATACAATTATGATTTCATATACAATTATAATGAAAAATATTATCATCGGAACAACTTTCACCATGATAATTAATGACAAATATTTAGAAAGATACAAAAATATAACCATCATGTTCACAATTGTTCCACTAGCTAGGACCCTGTACTGTGGAAATTTGCAATACACTTACAATAATAAAAATACGAAATAAAGTACAGAGTACATTAATCAATATAGTGTCAAGTTACAACTATTTTGTACATAGCATGGACTACTGTTTAATATAATATTAAGAATTAAATATTATTTGACTGAGTTTGTTTGTTATATTCTAGTGTGGTAGAGTAGTACTTTAACTATATATGTGCGTAGTTGCTAGGTTATCTCTTGTAGAAAAGTAATTAACTACTAGCTAATTTGTCTTCTTTGTATATTGCTATATATTCCTTTGGCACATCTTTATTTCTTTATGAGCCCTCCAAGTCATCACTTACTGCACAATATGTTTTTAATGGGATTCGAGGTGGTGCTCTGCTCTAATACCAATTGTTAAGATGAAGTGTTTGCCATTAGGTCAAAGCTATAGCTATTAGTGAAGGTAAAACTTTATTACCTTATATATTTAGGTCTCAACCCTCCAAACTTTCGCCCAACAACAATGGAAGATGAGTATGATGCGTTAAAGATTAATAATACATGGGAGTTAGTTCTAGTAGTCGCTGGTCAAAAAGTTATTTGGTGCAAATGGATGTTTCGTGTCAAACGAAATGCTGATGGTTCGGTTGACAACTTTAGGGCTCATTTAGTAACCATGGATTTTTTTTTGCAAGAGTCTGGCTATGATTTTTATGAAAACTTTAGTCCTAAGGTGAAGTTGATGGTGATTGGAGTTGTTCTCACTATTGCTCTGAGTCAGAATTGGTTTGTTTGCTTATTAGATGTTATTAACAACGCTTTATTGAATGGAACTTTACAAGAGAATATGTACATGGAAGGCATGGTATTTTAAATGTTTAGCATAGTGTTAAGAGTTTGATCCTAACATAAGGATGGTGTAAGTCTTACGACAACAAGAAGAAAAGGGCAAAGTAATAAAGATAGTACACCAAATAAGCAATAGAACAAGCCAGACAATATATGAGTTATCTCATCACTGATAATTTTGAAAGTTGAAACTTTATCTAAGATGGGTCTTTGCGAAAATAAGAAATAAAAAGGAGTGAATAGCTAGAAATGAAGGAACTAGATGCAATCAATAATTGGCTAAAAGTCTACAAGTGTTATATCAAGGAAGATTAAAATATTGCAAGTGACATATTTCAAATTCGTCTCTGTGACTTCTAACAGACAATTTTGAATCAAGTATAAATAGGAGTGTCAGACAATTTTGAATCAAAGTATAAATAGGAGTGAAATGTTGAAAGATGATGTCAACCTTGAATCCAAGTATAAATAGCAGTGAAATGTTGAAAGATGATGTCCACCTTTTTTTTGAGTAAATACTCAAAATGGTCCCTCGACTATAGCTAAATTCACAAATTGGTCATTGACTTTCAATTTTAACCAATCAAGTCCTTAACTTTGCAATTTTAACACGATTTGGTCCTCCGTCTATTTGACCCTTTGTTGACTATGATTTTTGAGGATATATAAGTAATTTCATGGTCCATCGTCGATTTTTTAAGGTTCCGGTTGCATTTTCAGACCGCACTATTACATTTGAATCCACCGCCGAAAGTAATCTGCCAAATCCTGTCGCCTTTCTTCATCCTCCCTTTGGATTCAATGTAGTTGAGTTCGTACCAGAGTGTAGAAGACAACGTGTTTCCGAACCGGTGCAGCGTCATCCTGGAGGCCTTCATGTGCTCCGGTGAGAGCTGCGGGTATTTCTGGAGATCGTCGATGACGGCGCGGGCGCCGGCGTTAATGCAGAAGTGTTCGAAGGACCGAATCGTGTTAAAATTGCAAAGTTAAGGACTTAATTGGTTAAAATTGAAAGTCGATGACCAATTTGTGAATTTAGCTATAGTTGAGGGACCATTTTGGGTATTTACTTGAATGCTACTGGCTCTATTACAATGTAGTATCTGTTCATATACTTTCTCAATCTACTAAAACACAAAGAACCAATAATGCCTCCACTGAGGCTCGATCAAACTCACAACCTTCCAAATGGAAGTCCAACCCGAATACCAATAGACCACATAGTCTTGGTAAAGATGATGTCAACCTAGTGTAAAAGTTTTAGTGAAAGACTCTAGAGGAATAAGGGAAGCTAGGTTTCCAAGGATTGGGGCAAGGAAATTATTTCTTTCAGATTTAGATTGGTTAATTATTGCAAAATCATTAACTAAGTCCAAGTTTTTCGTATTTCATATGCTCAAAAAAGAAAAATCAACTTCTCATCATATGCAAAAGAATGCAACAAAAAATGTTTTTTCATAATATAGCTATGCACATAAAAAGTTTTCAAGCATTCCTCACAATTATAAAACTTTAAATGGAAACAAATCACATACTCTTTGATAAACAAATCTAGGTGGATTTGGGATTCTTTGAATCACTAATACCAATTATTATTATATATTTTATTATAATAATATAATAAATATTAATTATAGCAATATTTAAATAAGTATTATTTGATAACTTTCATCTTCAAACTATGCTCATCATATGAATTGAAAGTAGTTTAGTCATGTTAGGTTGAACATTGTTCTCAAATGTCGTGAGAAAAAAAGATACCTAAGATTTTCCTTTATGGAATTCAAGTTCATTGGGAAAAAAAAAAAAATTCCATTAATCAAATAAATCAAAATTCAATATAATTTTTCTCCACTTTTAAAAATTCTAGTTCCTTTATAAAACAAAACAAAACAATTAAAAACAAAAACCAGGAACAACAGGCCGGCCAGCCAGGCGCGCAATACCAATACCAATCATGTTTGGCTTATCTGGCCAATAATCTTCATGCCTCAGGCCGGCCAACCAATAACAATCATAATTACAATGATATATTAGAGA